CTATAGTACCCTAGTAATACATACTATACTGTACACAGTTTCTCTGGTGTTGGACTAGAGAAAACGTCATTTTTGCAGTCATTCCTACAAGCTGCCTGGCTACATCATCTCATAATTATGTCAGTTTGTTCGACTACAGTTGTATGTACAGCCTCTCCTCACTTAGTGACGTACTCGTTTACCAACGCCTCGGACTTACGACGGGCTCTCTGACCAGAATGCATACTAAATAATGTATATTAGAGCTGATTTCCTCTATTCTGTTTATTACAGTATGAAGTACGCTACTGTATCAACATTTAAAAATATACCAGAAATGTTATAAATGGTGCAAAGGTGACATTAAAACAATATCAAAGATGGCTAACACAAACTCACTACCACTATAGTATGTTCACTTAGCAACGAATTCGTTTAACAACGTGGTCTCAGGAATGGAACTCTGTCATTAAATGAGGAGAGGCTGTACTGTTTATATATGTAGTGTGTTTATATAATTTTGAAAAAAATATTATATATGGGTTAATGAAAATATCTATAACAATATATGACATTTAATGTGCCCTAGAGCAAATACTCTTGTTATTATTATTGCATCTTCAACACTAGTAAGACACACTTACTGATTTTAATGTGTACCTGCATGCCAGCACAGCATGCAAGTTTATTTACGAACAGGTACACATAAGTACAATTATCAGAGTTTGTATTAACCCTTTCACTGTTGGTCCCACAATATTACGGCTTGCAAGCCAGTGTCAGTCCCATAAAATTATGCCAAAATTCTAGCGGCTTACAATATTGTGGGAGAAAGCTGGTAGGCCTATATATGAAAGAATGGGTCCGAGTGGTCAGTGTGTGCAGCATAAAAAAAAAAAAATCCTGCAACACGCAGCGCATACAGAGGAAAAAACTTCAATGTGTTTTTGGTTTAAAACGTCGACTTTGTAGTGTATTTTCGTATGGTACAGCCTCTCCTCACTTAGCGACATACTCATTTACCAATGACTCAGACTTACAACGGGCTCTCTGACCAGAATGCATACTAAAATAATGTATATTCGAGCTAATTTCCTCTATTCTGTTTATTACAGTATAAAGTACACTATTGTAAAAACATTTAAAAATACACCAGAAATGTTATAAATGGTACAAAAGTGACATTAAAACAATATCAAAAGATGGTTGATACAAAACCACTACCATTTTAGTATGCTCCTCACTTAGCGACTAATTCGTTTACCAACAAGGTCTTAGGAACAGAACTCCATCGTTAAGTGAGGTCTCATTTGATAGAATGGAAGATATATATCAAAAATAGAGATGATTTTGAATGGTTTATGAACTAAAAGCACCTTGAAATTGAGCTCAAAGTAGCGAAAATATTCGATTTTTGCCAATGTTCAAGAGTAAACAAATCACGTCATGTGTCCAATACATGTCAACTGGTGGGTCTAATATGCTGATATTATTTACACCATTTTTACAATAATAATGTAGTCTGCATAACAATAAATCTTCTATTTTTTTGTGTGAATAAAAATTCAAAATGGAAAGGAAGCATAATAAAAGAGGGGCATGGAGATGTGACTAATGAACAGAGAAAATGTTATTTTAGTGCTAGGAATGTTTGTATTGCTAACTCTGGACCCTATTTTGAAAATGGCCTTACATGAATTGTGAATGAAATTGGCCAAATTACCAATTTCTGATCACTTTATTGGATAGCTGAAATCAGTAAATGGGTGGTTTCTTGTATTCAACCGATAGAACAAATGGAGTTCTAGCGAAATAGCTATGAGTTTGGTCAACTGGAACAATGGAATTGGCCGAAAATAGGGCTCAAGTGGGCGAAATCATCAATGCATAAATATTGCCGAGACTGCTAACTTCACACGAGCACAATTCCATAAGTTTTTCATCGAATTTCGTACTTTTGGTGCCATTACCATCAGGTAAAGATTCTCTATCATTTCAGGAGAAAAAATAATTTTTTAAAAAATTCTTCAACACTGAGAGCAAGTTTGTGAGCAGGGGTCTCGACAGTGAAAGGGCTAAATATGCAGTAACTTTAAAACATTTGAAGTTTTGGAAAGTTTCCAGACATAATCAATGGGACGTGGTGCTCAGAGAGGATGTAAACAGAGTGACACACAGATGCTCTAATAGCGAATCGGGGGCCATATAAACAAATTTTTGGTTGTAATTTGCAATGTCCACATTAGCAAACTGCCAAAAAGGTGGGCCCTCCTGTACAATGAAACACATAGGGTAACAATATTTAGATAAGGGTAAGATGATTTTTTGTTGCATTCATGCATTTAGAAAAGGCATATGACAGGGTGGATAGGGGAGCAGTGTGGCAGATGTTGCAAGTGTATGGAATAGGTGGTAGGTTACTGAGAGCAGTTAAAAGGTTTTACAAGGATAGTGAAGCTCAGGAAATTATTTTTTAGTAAAAGTAGGCCTTAGACATGGATGCATGATGTCCCCATGGTTGATTAACATATGTACAGATGGGGGTTGGGGGAGAGGCGTGGGATTAAACTATGCAGAATCTAATACAAAGTGGGAGTTATCACAGTTGCTCTTTGCTGATGACACTGTGCTTTTGGGAGTCTTGAAGAGAAGTTGCAGAGGTTGGTGGACAAATTTGAGAGGGTATGTGAAAGAAGGAAATTAAAAGTGAACACGGGAAAAAGCAAGGTGATGAGGATAATAAGTTGCATAATGAAAGACTGATTATCAGTTTGGAAGGAGGGAGTATGGAGGAAGTATATACGTTTAGACATTTGGGAGTGGGCTTATCGGCAGATGGGTATATGAAAGGCAATTTGAATCACAGAATTGATGAAGGAAAAAAAGGTGGATGGTGCTCAACTGTTGGAACAGAAAGCATACTAGTGAAATACACTATGTAGCTAAGAATTTGGTTGAATGGAACAATGGAGCTGGCTTAAAATAAATCTCAAAGTAAGCAACTTAGCAGTCTTGGCACAATTTATGCTGATGTGTAAATTGTGCTGAGACTGCTAACTTTGCACCTATGTAATTCCATAAATTTTCCATGGAATTTCGTGCTTTTCATGTCATTATCTTCAGAAAGTGATTCGCTACCATTTCAGTAGAAGTTCGATTTTTAAAGGTGGACCCTGAAAGCAATATTATTTTAAGGGTCTAGACAGGGTTAAGTGGAATATACGACCTACCTGTTTAACGATCACTTGGACTTACGACCAGGTCTCTCCGACCAGTCGGTATTATATGCTGTATGAGAACTTTGGTCATGGAAACAGCAGTGTGGCATCTCAGAATCAAATAATCTCCAAGACTACACATTTTGTCTATAAATTTGTACTTTATTGTGCACCCCATAGTACAAGATAGAGCTGGAAGCACAGTAGCACTTGGAAGAAGTACAAAGAAAGTTCACTGTAAACGGGTTAGTTGGTATGTTCGTCTGTTTGTTTACATTCTTGGCGTCTATCTCATTTTTTCTTGTTTATGATGACATCTAAGGGTAGCTGTTAGAAATCATTAAACTCACCAAACAAGGTATGTCAATGGTGGTGGTAATAACAATCGTGCTAGGGCGCTTTAAATGTCATATTTTGTGTAGGTTTGATAGCTCACCCAGCTACCAAACCTACACGAAATACATGACATTTAAAGCACCCTAGAGCGATCATTACCGTTATTATTATTATTATTACCATTGATATACCTTGTTCACCAAGTTAAATAATTTCTAACAGCTAACCTTAGAAGCCATCGTAAACAAGAAAAAACGAGAGGCCGAGAATGTAAAAGACAAACACACCAGCTAACCCCTTTACAGTGAACTTCTTTTGTACTTCTTCTATTCTTTCCTCTTCTTCCTCTTTCTACAATAAATACTACTCACCTCTCACCCTACAATAAGACTAAAAAATATTTTAAGGTAAGTAATGAGTTTACTGTATGTGTACATGTATTTTAATGCCTCGTTCTATTTTTTAACATACTAAAAATGTTATAAATGCAAAGGTGAAATATCAGTAAGGGAACGGCTCCTTGCTTATCGACCAATTAGCTTACCGACCGAATGGAACTCAGTTGTTAAATGAGGAATGCCTGTATAACAGAATTTTTGATAAATCAGATATCCTCTCCTCCCTATTAGTCCATTTTAAGTGCTAAACTCATATACTTAGTAGGTCAGAGTGTAAATTCCAACAAAGTAAATTAAAATAGGTCTTGTTTATGATGACTTGACATAATTTTGACTTTTACTGTAAATATTAGGGGTGCCATAGGTGGCACTGGCTAATTTTGATGTTATCAGTATTGATCTAAAACTGAGTACATCAGCACTGATAAAAATTCTGGTATTGTCCCAGTCCTAGTAAAGATGGCATAACAATAGAGAGAAAAATTATAATTCAGTGTTAAGCTACAGATAAAAAATCAGATTTGTAGTAATACAATTACTAGTAATTTTAAGAGTAGAACTACCCACCCCTTCCTTGGATCAAACTTGACTATTTCCCATTTGTCACAGTGTATGACCCCTGTAGGTTTAGCACTTCCTTATGAACAATTATAAAAATAATAGCAACAATATAAGCATACAAGTTGAACTGTAAAGCTGCAACACAAAAATACTGAATCGTTTTATAAATTTTTACTGTACCCGAGAATAAAAAGATACAACACCTTGACTGGAATACACAAAAGCCCGCATATACAGTGGAACCTCGGTACTCGAACTCGATTCATTCCAGAGGGCTGTTCGAGTGCTGATCCATTCGAGTATCAAACAAATTCTTCCCAACCAATTTTCTTTTCGGTTGGCTGTTATCATTGATCTTTGTTGGCCCTACGGTGACTTATTTATACAAATACTATAATAAACACCAAAATATGTGAAGAAACACAAAATAGTTTGCAGTGTTTTTGTTTTGTATAAAGCCTGATTTGTTATTTAAACAAATTCTAAAGAGTCAATACAAAGAACTGACCTTAGCAATTCTAATACCCATGACCCACTGAGCAAGGGTGCGTGGGTCCTCTGAACACAGGTACTTTATGTACTTGCTACTCTTTGCTTGCAGATGAGGATGCTTGACAGCAAAACACCAGTCTGTTGGAGCTTTATACTTCTTCTTCCACCCAACTCCATAATATACCTACGGACATGATACTTGTGTAATTTAAAAAAATAATTTTTTTTAACATGTTGGTTGTTTCCCCACCAAGGCAGGGCAACCCAAACAAACACATTCATCACTGCTCATTTTGTAGCTGTTTTAACCAATTTTGAAACAAATACAGAGAACCATTACTCCAAAAATTGAGTACATTGTTAATAAAGTGGTGTTCTGCAGATGACTTCCACAGAAGACAATGATCACCAGTGGAATATATATATATATATTTATTTTTTTTCAACAAGTCGGCCGTCTCCCACCGAGGCAGGGTGACCCAAAAAGAAAATACTTTCATCATCATTCAACACTTTCACCTCACTCACACATAAACATTGTTTTTGCAGAGGTGCTCAGAACACAACAGTTTAGAAGCATATACATATAAAGATACACAACATATTCCTCCAAACTGCTAATATCCCAAAACCCCTCCTTTAGAGTGCAGGCATTGTACTTCCCATTTCCAGGACTCAAGTCCGGCTATATAAAAATAACCGGTTTCCCTGAATCCCTTCACTAAATATTACCCTGCTCACACTCCAACAGATCGTCAGGTCCCAAATACCATTCGTCTCCATTCACTCCTATCGAACACGCTCATGCACGCCTGCTGAAGTCCAAGCCCCTCACTCCTTCCTTCCAACCTTTTCGAGGACAACCCCTACCCCGCCTTCCTTCTCCTACAGATTTAAATGCTCTCCATGTCATTCTACTTTGATTCATTCTCTCTAAATGACCAAACCACCTCAACAACCCCTCTTCAGCCCTCTGACTAATACTTTTATTAACTCCACACCTTCTCCTAATTTCCACACACTGAATTTTCTGCATAATATTTACACCACACATTGCCCTTACACAGGACATCTCCACTGCCTCCAACCGCCTCCTCGCTGCTGCATTCACAACCCAAGCTTCACACCCATATAAGAGTGTTGGTACTACTATACTTTCATACATTCCCTTCTTTGCCTCCATAGATAACGTTTTTTGACTCCACATATACCTCAACGCACCACTCACCTTTTTTCCTTCATCAATTCTATGATTAACCTCATCCTTCATAAATCCATCTGCCGACACATCAACTCCCAAGTATCTGAAAACATTCACTTCTTCCATACTCCTCCCCAATTTGATATCCAATTTTTCTTTATCTAAATCATTTGATACCCTCATCACCTTACTCTTTTCTATGTTCACTTTCAACTTTCTACCTTTACACACACTCCCAAACTCATCCACAAACCTTTGCAATTTTTCTTTAGAATCTCCCATAAGCACAGTATCATCAGCAAAAAGTAACTGTGTCAATTCCCATTTTGTATTTGATTCCCCATAATTTAATCCCGCCTCCCTCTCTCTCACACACACACTCACACTCTCTCACTTCTCTCTCTCTGAGATAAAAAAATTTCTGGATAGAACCTGTACATAAGTTTGCACTGTTTCCCCCTGATCACATTAAATATCTGTTGAACTCTAGCTCTCAGTCAGGCCCCTCTGTGTTACACACAGTATACATGAGCAGAGATCAGTCATAAACAGCCTGCCTGCAAGCAGGCCGTTTATGACTGGCTGTCTGCGACTGATCTCTACTCATGTAATGTGTGTGTAATAAAGAGGGGCCTGACTGAGAGCTAATGGATAAAAATTATCTTCACTAGGAACTAATAGTCAAAGATAATAAATGAAACAGCCAGATGAATGCATGGTATTCAATAGTGAAATAGCCAAATATGTTAAAAAAAATTAATTAACAATTCACCTGAAACATAACCTAGACTTGTGTGTGAAAATAGCATGAAGAAAATATTGTACATAATAAATTTTGGTAAAACTTTGCATCTTTTAATTACATAAAAACATAGAACTTGAAAAAATCCAGAACTGTGTTAAAGTGACATACATCACTGAAGTAATAACTTTCTTCATTTTTTTAAATTTCTGTAATACCTACTATTTATTTTAAAGTCACCAAGGTCAAACAAGCCAAAAAATAAGATGTCTAAGTGTGTGTATAAATTTGAGTTGGAGGGAAGGAGGGGTAGGGGTCATTCTAGGAAAGGCTGGAGGGACAGGGGTAAAAGTGGTTTTGAGTACTAGGGGCTTGGATATCCAACAGGCTTGTGTGAGAGCGTTAGATAGGAGTGAGTGGAGGCAAGTGGTTTTTATGATTGGATGTGCTGATGAGTGTGAAGAAGGTAACATTTATGAAGGAATTCAGGGAAACCAGTTAGCTGGACTTAGTCCTGGAGGAGGAAACTAGTGCCTGCACCCTGAAGGGGTGGAGATGTTATAGTATGGAGGGTCACCTGAACTGTGATGTCAGTGCCCTTCTGGCAAGACAGTGATTCAAGAATGAAACCCTTATGCAACATTTGGGAACATTCATTGTGGAAACACTTTGCAGCCAGTGGCTTCTTCAGTCCAGTACAGTGAAGAATGGCAGAAGATGAGGAATTTGAGGTAATCAGTCCCTCAGCCTGGAGTAAATGTGTTCAGTCCATTAATCTTGAGAAAAGATTGATGGACTGAACACAGACTCCAGGCTGAGGGACTAATTACCTCAAGCTCCTCCTCATCTTTCACCATTTTTCTCTGCATTGGACCGAAGAAGCCAATGTCTAGCAAAACATTTGCACATGCCAACTACAAGTTCATTTAAAGTTACAGCAAAAGTTTTCATTTGCTCACTTACCCAGACATACATGACTTTCAGTTTAAAGGTAAACTTGTAATTGCCCACTTAAGTCTTTTAATTGCAATCTAAATAATTAAGTCATATGAATATGCCCCTTTCAGTTTTCAACCATTATATCAAGAAACTAATTATAAAGGAATAGATTTCTTGTATAAACCTCAAGATATTAATGAAGCACGGCCAATGTGTTAATAAATAAATAAAAGAGAGAATAACTGACCTGATTTACTTCCAGAGTAGTAAGACAAACTAAATCCTTGGAGGAGCGAGAGGATTTGCCCTTAGGACAATAATACAGTCCTGAGGCTCTAAGGACAAAGTAATATTTTTTCCACACTTTCTTGCCTTCAGACTTCAAGAAGAGAGGACCTTCAACTTCAGGAACACCTACACCTGTACTCGAGAAGAACTCCTGGGAACAAACAAAAATACATACATGTATATGCTGTCTCTTATTTCAATAGATGATATTCATATGGCAGTATACAAACAATTATAATGCATTTTTTTTTGTAAATTATGAATGCATTATTGATTTTTCACTAATTCACACTTGAACAACTTAAAGTTACTGTCATTGTTTGGCCCCTCAATCAAGTGGCCTGGTAAAAAAAAAATGGGCAACAGGAACAACAGTGGGTATATTATTATAGTACAGTAGTTGGTTCAAGTTTAAAACTTATTGACTACATGAGGTTCATTAAGAATGCAGTTTATCTGTACACCAACAATGAAAAATACCAAGGTACTACATACAACTCTTGGCATTTACACCAAGATACTGCATACAACCCTTGGTGTTTATAACAAGATACTTCATACAATAAATATACAGTGGAACCTCTACTTGCGAGTGCATCCATGTGCAAGTTTTTCATAATACGAGCAGTCGGTGGGTCAATTTTTTGCTTTCATACACGAGCGAAATTTCCACAAGCAAGCAGACCTCAAGGGAGGTTCCTTGATGATGGTGAGGGGCTCTTGTTCTTGATCTAGGGAATTGGATCTCATTTGTTTGTTGGACTATCTTATTGAAACTTGGGCAATGTATGATGGAAAGATGCTTCTTAATGTACACCAAAAATAAAAAAAATCAGAGCATAAACAATGGAGTTCACTTCTCAGCCACCCCTTAGCAGTATTTTTGTATGGTTTTTATGGTTGTATTCTCATTTTTCTGGTCTCATTTGATAGAATGGTAGATATATTACAGAAATAGATGATTTTGACTACTTTCACAACAAAATGTACCTTGAAACTGAGATCAATGCAGGAGAAATGTTCTATTCCTTAATTATGTTCAAGAGTAAACTGTCCATTCCATTATAAAGCCATAAATGGGTTGACATTATTTATACAATTATTGCAATAAGGCAGTAGTCTGCATGATATTAAATCTTCTATTTTTTTGTGTGAATAAAAATTACAAATGATTTATATTTGTAATAATAATAATAATAATAAAAAAATGTATAATAATAACAGTAGCGGGGTAGGGGCCGTCCTTGAAAAGGTTGGAAGGAAGGGGTAAGAGAGGTTTTGTGGGCGAGGGGTTTGGACTTCCAGCAGGCATGCATGAGCGTGTTCGATAGGAGCGGATGGAGATGAATTGTATTTGGGACCTGACGATCTGTTGGAGTGTGAGCAGGGCAATATTTAGTGAAGGGATTCAGGAAACTGGTTATTTTTATATAGCTGGACTTGAATCCTGGAAATGGGAAGTACAATGCCTGCACTCTAAAGAAGGGGTTTGGGATATTAGCAGTTAGGAGGGATATGTTGTGTATTATTATACATATATGCTTCTAAATTGTTGTGTTCTGAGCACCTCTGCAAAAACAGTGATTATGTGTGAGTGAGGTGTAAGTGTTGAATGATGACGAAAGTATTTTCTTTTTGGGTCACCCTGCCTCGGTGGAAGGCGGCCGACTTGCTATAAAAAAAAAAAAAAAATAATGTATAATAATAATGTTCTACATAATAATTTTTTTATTTTATTTTATTATCACACTGGCCGATTCCCACCAAGGCAGGGTGGCCCAAAAAAGAAAAACTTTCATCATCATTCACTCCATCACTGTCTTGCCAGAAGGGTGCTTTACACTACAGTTTTTAAACTGCAACATTAACACCCCTCCTTCAGAGTGCAGGCACTGTACTTCCCATCTCCAGGACTCGAGTACGGCCTGCCGGTTTCCCTGAACCCCTTCATAAATGTTACTTTGCTCACACTCCAACAGCACGTCAAGTATTAAAAACCATTCGTCTCCATTCACTCCTATCAAACATGCTCACGCACGCCTGCTGGAAGTCCAAGCCCCTCGCACACAAAACCTCCTTTACCCCCTCCCTCCAACCTTTCCTAGGCCGACCCCTACCCCGCCTTCCTTCCACTACAGACTGATACACTCTTGAAGTCATTCTGTTTACGCTCCATTCTCTCTACATGTCCGAACCACCTCAACAACCCTTCCTCAGCCCTCGGGACAACAGTTTTGGTAATCCCGCACCTCCTCCTAACTTCCAAACTACGAATTCTCTGCATTATATTCACACCACACATTGCCCTCAGACATGACATCTCCACTGCCTCCAGCCTTCTCCTCGCTGCAACATTCATCACCCATGCTTCACACCCATATAAGAATGTTGGTAAAACTATACTCTCATACATTCCCCTCTTTGCCTCCAAGGACAAAGTTCTTTGTCTCCACAGACTCCTAAGTGCACCACTCACCCTTTTCCCCTCATCAATTCTATGATTCACCTCATCCTTCATAGACCCATCTGCTGACAGGTCCACTCCCAAATATCTGAATACATTCACCTCCTCCATACTCTCTCCCTCCAATCTGATATCCAATCTTTCATCACCTAATATTTTTGTTATCCTCATAACCTTACTCTTTCCTGTATTCACTTTTAATTTTCTTCTTTTGCACACCCTACCAAATTCATCCACCAATCTCTGCAACTTCTCTTCAGAATCTCCCAAGAGCACAGTGTCATCAGCAAAGAGCAACTGTGACAACTCCCACTTTATGTGTGATTCCATATCTTTTAACTCCACGCCTCTTGTCAAGACCCTCGCATTTACTTCTCTTACAACCCATCTATAAAATATATTAAACAACCACGGTGACATCACACATCCCTGTCTAAGGCCTACTTTTACTGGGAAATATTTTCCCTCTTTCCTATGTACTCTAACTTGAGCCTCACTATCCTCGTAAAAACTCTTCACTGCTTTCAGTAACCTACCTCCTACACCATACACCTGCAACATCTGCCACATTGCCCCCCTATCCACCCTGTCATATGCCTTTTCCAAATCCATGAAATGCCACAAAGACCTCTTTAGCCTTATCTAAATATTGTTCACTTATATGTTTCCCTGTAAACACCTGGTCCACACACCCCCTACCTTTCCTAAAGCCTCCTTGTTCATCTGCTATCCTATTCTCAGTCTTACTTTTAATTCTTTCAATAATAACTCTACCATACACTTTACCAGGTATACTCAACAGACTTATCCCCTATAATTTTTGCACTCTCTTTTGTCCCCTTTGCCTTTATACAAAGGAACTATGCATGCTCTCTGCCAATCCCTAGGTACCTTACCTCTTCCATACATTTATTAAATAATTGCACCAACCACTCCAAAACTATATCCCCACCTGCTTTTAACATTTCTATCTTTACCCATCAATCCCGGCTGCCTTACCCCTTTCATTTTACCTACTGCCTCACGAACTCCCCCCACACTCACAACTAGCTCTTCCTCACTCCTACAAGATGTTATTCCTCCTTGCCCTATACACGAAATCACAGCTTCCTTATCTTCATCAACATTTAACAATTCCTCAAAATATTCCCTCCATCTTCCCAATACCTCTAACTCTCCATTTAATAAAATCTCCTCTCCTATTTTTAACTGACAAATCCATTTGTTCTCTAGGCTTCCTTAACTTGTTAATCTCACTCCAAAACTTTTTCTTATTTTCAACAAAATTTGTTGATAACATCTCACCCACTCTCTCATTTGCTCTCTTTTTACATTGCTTCACCACTCTCTTAAACCTCTCTCTTTTTCTCCATATACTCTTCCCTCCTTGCATCACTTCTACTTTGTAAAAACTTCTCATATGCTAACTTTTTCTCCCTTACTACTCTCTTACATCATCATTCCACCAATCGCTCCTCTTCCCTCCCGCACCCACTTTCCTGTAACCACAAAAATTCTGCTGAACACTCTAACACTACATTTTTAAACCTACCCCATACCTCTTCGACCCCATTGCCTATGCTCTCATTAGCCCATCTATCCTCCAATAGCTGTTTATATCTTCCCCTAACTGCCTCCTCTTTTAGTTTATAAACCTTCACCTCTCTCTTCCCTGATGCTTCTATTCTCCTTGTATCCCATCTACCTTTTACTCTCAGTGTAGCTTACAACTAGAAAGTGATCTGATATATCTGTGGCCCCTCTATAAACATGTACATCCTGAAGTCTACTCAACAGTCTTTTATCTACCAATACATAATCCAACAAACTACTGTCATTTCGCCCTACATCATATCTTGTATACTTATTTATCCTCTTTTTCTTAAAATATGTATTACCTATAACTAAACCCCTTTCTATACAAAGTTCAATCAAAGGGCTCCCATTATCATTTACACCTACCACACCCTCTCTAAAAGTTTCTCCTACTTTAGCATTCAGGTCCCCTACCACAATTACTCTCTCACTTGGTTCAAAGGCTCCTATACATTCACTTAACATCTCCCAAAATCTCTCTCTCTCCTCTGCATTCCTCTCTTCTCCAGGTGCATACACACTTATTATGACCCACTTCTCGCATCCAACCTTTACTTTAATCCACATAATTCTTGCATTTACACATTCATATTCTCTTTTCTCCTTCCATAATTGATCATTCAACATTACTGCTACCCCTTCCTTTGCTCTAACTCTCTCAGATACTCCAGATTTAATCCCATTTATTTCTCCCCACCGAAACTCCCCTACCCCCTTCAGCTTTGTTTCGCTTAGGGCCAGGACATCCAACTTCTTTTCATTCATAACATCAGCAATCATCTGTTTCTTGTCATCTGCACTACATCCACGCACATTCAAGCATCCCAGTTTTATATATATTTATATATATTTTTTTTTTCAACAAGTTGGCCGTCTCCCACCAAGGCAGGGTGATCCAAAGAGAAAGAAAATCCCCAAAAAGAAAATACTTTCATCAACATTCAACACTTTCACCTCACTCACACATAATCACTGTTTTTGCAGAGGTTCCCAGAATACAACAGTTTAGAAGTATATACGAATAAAAATACACAATATATCTCTCCAAACTGCCAATATCCCAAACCCCTCCTTTAGAGTGCAGGCATTGTATTTCCCATTTCCAGGACTCAAGTCTGGTTATATAAAATAACCAGTTTCCCTGAATCTCTTCACTAAATATTACCCTGCTCACACTCCTACAGATCGTCAGGTCCAAAATACCAATTGTCTCCATTCACTTCTAACACGCTCACGCACGCTTGCTGGAAATCCAAACCCCTCGCCCACAACACCTCCTTTACCCCCTCCCTCCAATCTTTTCGAGGACAACCCCTACCCTGCGTTCCTTCCCCTATAGATTTATACGCTCTCCATGTCATTCTACTTTGACCCATCCTCTCTAAATGACCAAACCACCTCAACAAACCCTCTTCAGCCCTCTGACTAATACTTTTATTAACTCTACACCTTCTCCTAATTTCCACACTCTGAATTTTCTGCATAATATTTACACCACACATTGCTCTTAGACAGGACATCTCCACTGCCTCCAACCACCTCCTTGCTGCAGCATTTACAACCCAAGCTTCACACCCATATTAGAGTGAAGAGTGTTGGTACTACTATACTTTCATACATTCCCTTCTTTGCATCCATAGATAGAAGAAGAAAAACTTTATAAAACTGGGATGCTTGAATGTGCGTGGATGTAGTGCAGATGACAAGAAACAGATGACTGCTGATGTTATGAATGAAAAGAGGTTGGATGTCCTGGCCCTAAGCGAAACAAAATAGAAGGGGGTAGGGGAGTTTCAGTGGGGGGAAATAAATGGGATTAAATCTGGAGTATCTGAGAGAGTTAGAGCAAAGGAAGGGGTAGCAGTAATGTTGAATGATCAGTTATGGAAGGAGAAAAGAGAATATGAATGTGTAAATGCAAGAATTATGTGGATTAAAGTAAAGGTTGGATGCAAGAAGTGGGTCATAATAAGCGTGTATGCACCTGGAGAAGAGAGGAATGCAGAGGAGAGAGAGAGAGATTTTGGGAGATGTTAAGTGAATGTATAGGAGCCTTTGAACCAAGTGAGAGAGTAATTGTGGTAGGGGACCTGAATGCTAAAGTAGGAGAAACTTTTAGAGAGGGTGTGGTAGGTAAGTTTGGGGTGTCAGGTGTAAATGATAATGGGAGCCCTTTGATTGAACTTTGTATAGAAAGGGGTTTAGTTATAGGTAATACATATTTTAAGAAAAAGAGGATAAATAAGTATACAAGATATGATGTAGGGCAAAATGACAGTAGTTTGTTGGATTATGTATTGGTAGATAAAAGACTGTTGAGTAGACTTCAGGATGTACATGTTTATAGAGGGGCCACAGATATATCAGATCACTTTCTAGTTGTAGCTACACTGAGAGTAAAAGGTAGATGGGATACAAGGAGAATAGAAGCATCAGGGAAGAGAGAGGTGAAGGTTTATAAACTACAAGAGGAGGCAGTTAGGGAAAGATATAAACAGCTATTGGAGGATAGATGGGCTAATGAGAGTATAGGCAATGGGGTCGAAGAGGTATGGGGTAGGTTTAAAAATGTAGTGTTAGAGTGTTCAGCAGAAGTTTGTGGTTACAGGAAAGTGGGTGTGGGAGGGAAGAGGAGCGATTGGTGGAATGATGATGTAAAGAGAGTAGTAAGGGAGAAAAAGTTAGCATATGAGAAGTTTTTACAAAGTAGAAGTGATGCAAGGAGGGAAGAGTATATGGAGAAAAAGAGAGAGGTTAAGAGAGTGGTGAAGCAATGTAAAAAGAGAGCAAATGAGAGAGTGGGTGAGATGTTATCAACAAATTTTGTTGAAAATAAGAAAAAGTTTTGGAGTGAGATTAACAATTTAAGGAAGCCTAGAGAACAAATGGATTTGTCAGTTAAAAATAGGAGAGGAGAGTTATTAAATGGAGAGTTAGAGGTATTGGGAAGATGGAGGGAATATTTTGAGGAATTGTTAAATGTTGATGAAGATAGGGAAGCTGTGATTTCGTGTATAGGGCAAGGAGGAATAACATCTTGTAGGAGTGAGGAAGAGCCAGTTTTGAGTGTGGGGGAAGTTCGTGAGGCAGTAGGTAAAATGAAAGGGGGTAAGGCAGCCGGGATTGATGGGATAAAGATAGAAATGTTAAATGCAGGTGGGGATATAGTTTTGGAGTGATTGGTGCAATTATTTAATAAATGTATGGAAGAGGGTAAGGTACCTAGGGATTGGCAGAGAGCATGCATAGTTCCTTTGTATAAAGGCAAAGGGGACAAAAGAGAGTGCAAAAATTATAGGGGGATAAGTCTGTTGAGTATACCTGGTAAAGTGTATGGTAGAGTTATTATTGAAAGAATTAAAAGTAAGACTGAGAATAGGATAGCAGATGAATAGGAGGCTTTAGGAAAGGTAGGGGGTGTGTGGACCAGGTGTTTACAGTGAAACATATAAGTGAACAGTATTTAGATAAGGCTAAAGAGGTCTTTGTGGCATTTATGGATTTGGAAAAGGCGTATGACAGGGTGGATAGGGGGCAATGTGGCAGATGTTGCAGGTGTATGGTGTAGGAGGTAGGTTACTGAAAGCAGTGAAGAGTTTTTACGAGGATAGTGAGGCTCAAGTTAAAGTACATAGGAAAGAGGGAAATTATTTCCCAGTAAAAGTAGGCCTTAGACAAGGATGTGTGATGTCACCGTGGTTGTTTAATATATTTATAGATGGGGTTGTAAGAGAAGTAAATGCGAGGGTCTTGACAAGAGGCGTGGAGTTAAAAGATAAAGAATCACACATAAAGTGGGAGTTGTCACAGTTGCTCTTTGCTGATGACACTGTGCTCTTGGGAGATTCTGAAGAGAAGTTGCAGAGATTGGTGGATGAATTTGGTAGGGTGTGCAAAAGAAGAAAATTAAAAGTGAATACAGGAAAGAGTAAGGTTATGAGGATAACAAAAATATTAGGTGATGAAAGATTGGATATCAGATTGGAGGGAGAGAGTATGGAGGAGGTGAACGTATTCAGATATTTGGGAGTGGACGTGTCAGCGGATGGGTCTATGAAGGATGAGGTGAATCATAGAATTGATGAGGGGAAAAGGGTGAGTGGTGCACTTAGGAGTCTGTGGAGACAAAGAACTTTGTCCTTGGAGGCAAAGAGGGGAATGTATGAGAGTATAGTTTTACCAACACTCTTATATGGGTGTGAAGCATGGGTGATGAATGTTGCAGTGAGGAGAAGGCTGGGGGCAGTGGAGATGTCATGTCTGAGGGCAATGTGTGGTGTGAATATAATGCAAAGAATTCGTAGTTTGAAAGTTAGGAGGAGGTGCGGGATTACCAAAACTGTTGTCCAGAGGGCTGAGGAAGGGTTGTTGAGGTGGTTCGGACATGTAGAGAGAATGGAGCGAAACAGAATGACTTCAAGAGTGTATCAGTCTGTAGTGGAAGGAAGGCGGGGTAGGGGTCGGCCTAGGAAAGGTTGGAGGGAGGGGGTAAAGGAGGTTTTGTGTGCGAGGGGCTTGGACTTCCAGCAGGCGTGCGTGAGCGTGTTTGATAGGAGTGAATGGAGACGAATGGTTTTTAATACTTGACGTGCTGTTGGAGTGTGAGCAAAGTAACATTTATGAAGGGGTTCAGGGAAACCGGCAGGCCGGACTTGAGTCCTGGAGATGGGAAGTACAGTGCCTGCACTCTGAAGGAGGGGTGTTAATGTTGCAGTTTAAAAACTGTAGTGTAAAGCACCCTTCTGGCAAGACAGTGATGGAGTGAATGATGGTGAAAGTTTTTCTTTTTCGGGCCACCCTGCCTTGGTGGGAATCGGCCAGTGTGATAATAATAAAAAAAAATCCATTATCTTTAACTAACATAACTGTTTCCAAAGTAATAAGAAGTATACTAATAATGTACCTCTGTATTATAAAGTGGTTCAGCTTGTAAGTGATGTAGTTAACCTTATATGTCACTGATATACTGATCATTCATACAGAAAAGTTAATTAAATAAAAAATTTAAACATCTATTAAATTTAAATTCAAAAGAGGAATGTAACACAACAAAAATTAAATTGATTACAAGAAGTTGAGCAGTTCTTCACCTCAATAAGTGTACTTCTTCCTTCATCGTCCAGATCAGAATTCTTCTGCGATGATGACCCAATAAGGATATATTGCTCTGGCCGCAGGAACAAGTCATATTTGTCAGGTCTCTCCAGGAAAAGAAGCTTGTTTTTGCTATCGCGTGTCCAAAGAAGAAGATTTTCTACTAGCATTTCATCATCTTCATATATTCGTTCTAGGGAATAAATAATACAGTATTATTTCAATACTCAATTGCACAACTTTTAATAAACATGAATATAATAGCAAAATATGAAATTTTTCAGTTCATGTTTCATGAAAGACTGTTAAGACAAGATTCACTATAAACAAAAAGTATTAAATAAAACTAACCCATATAAAGATCAGGAATATGTTCCACTACTGCCCATTTTGGGTCCATCCTCACATGATTTTTATCTGCCAGCAGCCTTGTCACATGTACAACTGTCATCTTTTCATCAACTAACAATGATTTTGTTGACCCATCTGATGTGAAGGCTTTAATAAATAACTTTTTCACATTAGCCTCTTTTATTTTCTCTAAAGCCATTTTAATCTTTTCAGCTTTGAGCTTTGCAGCTTGTTCCACCTGTCAGAAGAAGGGAAATGAATTGAGTGCATTTTATTGTGAAATTTTTATTTAAAATGTGGCTAACTAATGTTTGCTTAACTATTCCATATGTGTCAACATTTCTTTTGATATACTAAACAACTACTTCAACCTGTGTAGAGGTAAAAGTACATACCTAGCTACGATTTTTAAATAACTGCCAACAAGAACAAATGAACAATGAGCTAATAAAAAATTAACTCCTGTTAATATACAAAATTGCTTGATACTACAATCTATGTAAAATTAACTTCTATTTTAAAATGTGTCCCTACAATGGATGAGTTCACATTTTAAGGCTGTGATGTATAAGATACAGGGAAAGGCTGAAATATATTTCCAACTAACCTTGTCCAACCCACAATCCTTCAGCAGATCAGCCAGCTGAGGTAACGTCAGGAAAAGGGTCTGTATACCATCACCATCATGCAAACCAAGCATCATGCAAAGACAACAGGGGAGAAACATGAACAAATACAGTATTGTATGAAGTATAAGGGCAAAGTGTAAATGAGGTGTTGATGATAGTAAGGACAAACTCAACATCAGAACTTAAGCAAAGAATGCCTGGAAACACTGTTTAATTAAAAATATAAAATATTGCATTTCTCTCAATTTTTTTTATTTACATACATAAATATTTTGTTGTTTCAAGTTTCTTTAACTTAGTTACAATGTTGAGTTTGGTCTTATTACTGGCTATGCCTCAAACACACATCACTGTTAGTTGAGTTACAGGTGAAATTAGAAACAATACTCAAGTATAAAGCAGAGGCAAGCAGTTAAACTCATATTCTAAACTAATTTGGTTCACAAATGCTTTGGCAAGTTATTAATCAGCAAATTTCACAACTTAGAATTTATAATATTACAGAAATGGTTATGATAACCCACTTTGCATGTACTAGGTTAATTGTAATAAAACTGTACTATATGTGTATAATGATGGGGCTTGCATTATCATCAAATTTAAAGTTAAGAAGTTTAACCAGAATTGTATTTCTGTTTTTTTACGTGTGTGTGTGTGTGTGTGTGTGTGTGTGTGTGTGTGTGTGTGTGTGTGTGTGTGTGTGCGCGCGTGCGCGTGTACTCACCTAGTTGTGGTTGCCGGGGTCGAATCACAGATGTGTATGTACTCACCTAGATGAGGTTGCAGGGGTCGAGTCCAAGCTCCTGGCCCCGCCTCTTCACTGGTCGCTACTAGGTCACTCTCCCTGAACCTAGAGCTTTATCATACCTGTGTGTGTGTGTGTGTGTGTGTGTGTGTGTGTGTGTGTGTGTGTGTGTGTGTGTGTGTGTGTGTGTGTGTGTGTGTGTGTGTGTGTGTGTGTGTGTGTGTGTCTGTGTGTACTCACCTAGTTGAGGTTGCGGGGGTCGAGTCCGAGCTCCTGGCCCCGCCTCTTCACTGATCGCTACTAGGTCACTCTCCCTGAGCCGTGAGCTTTATCATACCTCTGCTTAAAGCTATGTATGGATCCTGCCTCCACTACATCGCTTCCCAAACTATTCCACTTACTGACTACTCTGTGGCTGAAGAAATACTTCCTAACATCCCTGTGATTCATCTGTGTCTTCAGCTTCCAACTGTGTCCCCTTGTTACTGTGTCCAATCTCTGGAACATCCTGTCTTTGTCCACCTTGTCAATTCCTCTCAGTATTTTGTATGTCGTTATCATGTCCCCCCTATCTCTCCTGTCCTCCAGTGTCGTCAGGTTGATTTCCCTTAACCTCTCCTCGTAGGACATACCTCTTAGCTCTGGGACTAGTCTTGCTGCAAACCTTTGCACTTTCTCTAGTTTCTTTACGTGCTTGGCTAGGTGTGGGTTCCAAACTGGTGCCGCATACTCCAATATGGGCCTAACGTACACGGTGTACAGGGTCCTGAATGATTCCTTATTAAGATGTCGGAATGCTGTTCTGAGGTTTGCTAGGCACCCATATGCTGCAGCAGTTATTTGGTTGATGTGCTCTTCAGGAGATGTGCCTGGTGTTATACTCACCCCAAGATCTTTTTCCTTGAGTGAGGTTTGTAGTCTCTGACCCCTAGACTGTACTCCGTCTGCGGCCTTCTTTGCCCTTCCCCAATCTTCATGACTTTGCACTTGGTGGGATTGAACTCCAGGAGCCAATTGCTGGACCAGGTCTGCAGCCTGTCCAGATCCCTTTGTAGTTCTGCCTGGTCTTCGATTGAGTGTGTCTGTGTGTGTGTGTGTGTGTGTTGTGTGTGTGTGTGTGTGTGTGTGTGTGTGTGTCTGTGTGTTGTGTGTGTGTGTCTGTGTGTGTCTGTGTGTGTCTGTGTGTGTGTGTGTGTGTTGTGTGTGTGTGTGTCTGTGTGTGTGTGTGTGTGTCTGTGTGTGTATGTCTGTGTGTCTGTGTGTGTGTGTGTGTGTGTGTGTGTGTGTCTGTGTGTGTGTGTGTCTGTGTGTGTGTCTGTGTGTGTGTGTTGTGTGTGTGTGTGTGTGTGTGTGTCTGTGTGTGTGTGTCTGTGTGTGTGTGTCTGTGTGTGTGTGTCTTGTGTGTGTCTGTCGTGTGTGTGTGTGTGTGTCTGTGTGTGTCTGTGTCTGTGTGTCTGTGTTGTCTGTGTGTGTCTGTGTGTGTCTGTGTGTGTGTGTGTTGTCTGTCTGTGTGTGTCTGTCTGTGTGTGTCTGTCTGTGTGTGTCTGTTGTGTGTGTTGTCTGTGTGTGTTGTGTGTGTGTTGTGTGTGTTGTGTGTGTGTGTGTGTGTGTTGTGTGTGTGTGTGTGTGTTGTGTGTGTGTGTGTGTGTGTGTGTGTGTGTGTGTGTGTGTGTGTGTGTTGTTTCGTGTGTGTGTGTGTGTGTGGGTGTGTGGTGTGTCGTGTGTGTGTGTGTGTTGTTAGTGTCGCTGCTGCTGTCGTCGTGTGTGTGTGTGTGTGTGTCGCCTTAAATTGTGTGGTTCCGTCTCGCTCTGACGTCCTGTTGCTGGCTATTCCCGCCTGATCTTATGTACTGGCAAACCTATACTCACCTACATCCCTTGTGTTCATTGGGTCGAGTTCAACTTCCAATTGCCTGCCTCTTGTGTCTGTGTCCTTACTGGAATCCTCTCTTGCCACCTTGGTCTATTCCCGCAGTATTTTATACTGTCGTTATCTGTCTCCCCTGACCCTCCTGTCCTTCAGTGTGTCAGGCCGATTTCCTGAAAAAACTTTCTTCCGTGAGCACAATCCATTAGCCTCTTTGGGACTTAGTCTTTTGAAACCTTTGCACTTTCTCCATATTTCTTGACGTGCTTGTCTAGGTGTGGATTTCCCAACTTTGTGCAATCTCCAGTTGGGACCCTGATAAATGTATGCACTGTCTTAATCGATCTTGTGTGTGTCCTGTGTGTCTAGTATGTGTGTTGGTATCGGTCTTGATTGTGTGTGTGGGGTGTGTGTGTGTGTTGTGTTGTGTGTGTGTGTGTGTGTGTCTGTGTGTGTCTGTGTGTGTCTGTGTGTGTCTGTGTGTGTCTGTGTCTGTGTGTGTCTGTGTGTGTCTGTGTGTGTCTGTGTGTGTCTGTGTGTGTCTGTGTGTGTCTGTGTGTGTCTGTGTGTGTCTGTGTGTGTCTGTGTGTCTGTGTGTGTGTCTGTGTGTACTCACCTACTCACCTAGTTGAGGTTGCAGGGGTCGAGTCCAAGCTCCTGGCCCCGCCTCTTCACTGGTCGCCACTAGGTCACTCTCCCTGAACCATGAGCTTTATCGTACCTCTGCTTAAAGCTATGTATGGATCCTGCCTCCACTACATCTCTTCCCAAACAATCCACTTCCTGACTACTCTGTGGCTGAAGAAATACTTCCTAACATCCCTGTGATTCATCTGTGTCTTCAGCTTCCAACTGTGTCCCCTTGTTGCTGTGTCCCATCTCTGGAACATTCTGTCTTTGTCCACCTTGTCAGTTCTTCTCAGTATTTTGTATGTCGTTATCATGTCCCCCGTATCTCTCCTGTCCTCCAGTGTCGTCAGGTCGATTTCTCTTAACCTCTTCTCGTAGGGCATACCCCTTAGCTCTGGGACTAGTCTTGTTGCAAACCTTTGTACTTTCTCTAGTTTCTTTAAGTGCTTGGCTAGGTGTGGGTTCCAGGTGTGTCTGTGTGTGTGTGTCTGTGTGTGTGTGTGTGTCTGTGTGTGTGTGTGTGTGTGTGTGTGTGTGTGTGTGTGTGTGTGTGTGTGTGTGTGTGTGTGTGTGTGTGTGTGTGTGTGTGTGTGTGTGGTTTGTGTGTGTGTGTGTGTGTGTGTATGTTTATGTGTACCCACTTATTTGTGGTTGCAGGGGTCGAGACTCAGCTCCTGGCCCCACCTCTTCACTGACTGCTACTGGGTCCTCTCTCTCTCCCTGCTCCATGAGCTTTATCATACCTCGTCTTAAAACTAAGTATGGTTCCTGCCTCCACTACATCACTTGCCAGACTATTCCACTTCCTGACAACTCTGTGGCTGAAGAGATTCTTCCTAACATCCCTATGACTCATAGGAGTCTTCAACTTCCAATTGTGACCCCCTGTTTCTGTGTCCCATCTCTGGAACATCCTGTCTTTGTCCACCTTGTCAATTCCTCACAGTATTTTATAACTCGTTATCATGTCTCCCTTGACCCTCCTCTCTTTCAGTGTCGTCAGCCCGATTTCCCTTTGCCTTTCTTTGAAGGATGATCCCCTTAGCTCTGGGACTAGTCTTGTTGCAAACCTTTGCACTTTCTTTAATTTCTCGATGTACTTGACCAGGTGTGGATTCCAAACTGGTGCTGCATACTCCAATATGGGCTTTACGTATATGGCGTACAGAGTCTTGAACGATTTCTTACTAAGGTATCGGAACGCTATTCTCAAGATTTGCCAGATGACCGTGTACTGCAGCAGTTATCCGACTGAAGTGCGCCTCAGGAGATGTGCTTGGTATTATACTCACTCCAAGATATTTTTCCTTAAGTGAGGTTTGCAGTCTTTGGCCACCTAGACTATACTCTGTCTGTGGTCTTCTTTACTCTTCCCCAGTCTTCATGACTTTGCATATGGCGGGGTTAAATTCAAGGAGCCAGTTGCTGGACTAGGCTTGTAGCCTGTCCAGGTCTCTTTGTAGTCTTGCCTGATCCTCGACTGATTTAATTCTTCTCATTAACTTCACTTCATTTGCAAGCAGGGACACTTCTGAGTCTATCCCTTCTGTTATGTCATTCACATACAAAAAACAGCACAAGTCCTAGGACTGACCCCAGTGGAACCCTGCTCGTCATAGGTGCCCACTCTTACACCTCGTCACATACCATAACTCCTCGTTGCCTCCTTGTCATATACAGTGGACCCCCGCATAACGATTACCTCCGAATGCGACCAATTATGTAAGTGCGTTTGTACATGTATGTTTGGGGGTCTGAAATGGACTAATCTACTTCACAATATTCCTTATGGGAATAAATTCGGTCAGTACTGGCACCTGAACATACTTATGGAGTGAAAAAATATCGTTAACCGGGGGTCCACTGTATTCTCTGATCCATTGCAGTGCCTTTCCTGTTATGTGTGCCTGATCCTCTAGCTTTTGCATTAACCTCTTGTGAGGAACTGTGTCAAAAGCTTTCTTCAAGTCCAAGAAAATGCAGTCCATCCACCCTTCTCTCTCTCGTGTCTTACTTCTGTTACCTTGTCATAAAACTCCAGTAGGTTTGTGACACAGGATTTTCCTTCCCTGAAACCATGCTGGTTGTCGTTTACAAGCCTGTGTCTTTCTAGGTGCTCCACCACTCTCCTCCTGATGATTTTCTCCATGACTTTGCATACTGATGTGTATAGTGAGTGAGTGAGTGAGTGAGTGAGTGAGTGATGTGAGTGAGTGTGTGTGTGTGTGTGTGTGTGTGTGTGTGTGTGTGTGTGTGTGTGTGTGTGTGTGTGTGTGTGTGTGTGTGTGTGTGTGTGAGAGAGAGAGAGAGAGAGAGAGAGAGGAGAGAGAGAGAGAAGAGAGAGACAGAGAAGAGACAGAGAGAGAGACAGAGAGAGAGACAGAGAGAGAGACAGACAGAGACAGACAGAGACAGACAGAGACAGACAGACAGACAGACAGAGAGAGGGACAGAGACGAGACAGAGAGAGACAGAGAGACAAGAGAGAGAGAGACAGAGAAGAGAAAAGGAGACAGAGACAGAGAGAGACAGACAGAGAGACGAGACAGAGAGAAGACAGAGACAGAAGAAGAGAGAGACAGAGACAGAGAGAGACAGAGACAGAGACAGAGACAGAGAGACAGAGAGAGAGACAGAGACAGACAGACAGAGACAGAGAACATGTCTGAGTTCATGCATCTTAGGCATGGAGTAATCCAAGTAAATGATCAGTCATGGTGCACACAGATGGCATGTATTGGAAGTATAAATGGTGAGTCAGCTGGTTGTATCAATTCTGCCTGATGTCTGATTCAAAACTGATCAGGTAAGTCTATAGTGGGATAGCGGGAAGGCAAACCCACACCCACGCACACGCACAAAACACTAGTGAGCCTATGACATCACAAGGAGACAGCTGGGTAACCGACTCTGGCGGGCAGGCAAACAGACGGATGAACGTGCAGGCGGGTGGGCATGTGTGTGTATCTACAAATGTATGGAAGTATGTACAGTACATACATACAGTATATACACAGTAAACATTACATGATTCCTAGTTGATATTAAATGATCACATGATAGTATTTCATAGACAAAAGTAACAAACCTGTGAAACATGTTTGCTGGGATCGTGTCTTGAGCCAGCACTACCAGAAGCACCACTCGATGCAGAACTTTCCGAAGACAACATAGAAACATTGTCACTAAATGCTGAATCATTGTCAGGGCTGTCTGTTCGAGCTATAAAGAAAGAAAAGGAAGCAGACTTTAATGTTAACTCTGTGAATACAACAATACATGTACTATACAGTACTAGTAACATTTCTGAAAAATTCAGGAGGGTTTGGGAAGAATTTTTAATAGGGTATAGGAAATAATACAAGCAGAAATTAAGCTTAGGCATTCCTGAGCCAACTGATATAAAACGTAACAGGAAAGTGACCAGGAAGAAAGAATAACAGGGAAAATTTAAACAATATAACTGGCTTCGTTCTTTCGTTTTTCTTTTTGGGCCTTGGTGGGATATGGCCGGTTTGTTGAAAGAATAAAGAACTGGCCTCATTAGTGGGTACAGGTTTGAAGTGGTGTCCCAAAATTTGGTAAATGGTAAGTCAGTGTCTAAGACAGGTTTAGGTAAAAATAAAAAAAAAATGTCCAAGGTAACTCAAAATTAGTTACTGAAAATAAAAGGTTTTAAAATCAGTTTCAAAAAAAAAAAATGTAAAAAAGAACAAAAAATAAAGATTTCCATGTTCTAAATGGGATAGATGTGAATCAAATTTATGAACTTAAGCTTTATGCAAGCCTATCTCTATATCAGCTAGAACTTTAAACATGCAAATAAACATGAAAGAAAGTAAAATAATAAACTAGTAAAAATATTACAAAAAGTTAGAAAAATTCTGAATTAGCAGGAAGAAGTTTGAATCATTCAGATGAAACAATTGTCTGAATGCAACAAGACACACTGAATACAGACCTTGTGAATATGAAAGAAACTGGTAAAACCAAATTTAGAACTAGAAAAAGTGAAAGACTTCATGACAACAGCAAACTTGAGAACAGTAATCAAATATGACTAGTTCAAGAATATACAATAATAACAAGATGTTGAGTAAGAGACAAGTGAAACACCTCGTATGTTAAATGATACCCAGGTGGAAACAAATGGTATAAAATACTGACCCGATGGAAAAATAAACAAATGCAGTAGTCCCCCCATATTTGCAGGGGACACAGTCCAAGACCTACCTAGGATAAAGTTTAATTGATAAATTATACAAAGTAAGTCTAGAATTAGCACTTTTTCACTGATGGGAAGCATTTCACAGATTCTCTTAGGCTTTGAAGAACTGCCAGTATCACTACTTCTGCACTCTGGGGACATTATTAAGTGAAATTAAGGGTTATTTTTGGGCAACAGTAAACCATGGACAACTGAAACGGTGGATACCAAATCCATGGATACTGGGGTTCTACTGTAATGCGATCCTTTACTGACTACATTTCATCCACACAGTGGTTTTTATCAAGTGACAAGCAGATCTGTTTGTGACTTCATAAAGTCCACTGTCTCGGCAAATAAATAAAGAATCGCATTATATTGCATCTGTGTCTATTTCTCCATGATACTCAGGTGTGGCACATGTTTCTCTGAGCATCAGAGGAATCAAAAATGACATTGCAAACATCCAGAAATTCAAGGAAACTATTGATAGAGATAAAACCATTATTATTTCTGACTGTATTGTTATATCCAAAGTTTCTTCAAACAAGATTCACTATAAACTAAAAGGTCATCACAGCAAAAACTGAAAGACTATCTTTTATCTATTGTGTGTGTTAATGGTTCTGGGTATCACAGACCTATCGCCCATGCTCACAGTGTGTTAATGGTTCTGGGTATCATAGACCTATGGCCCAGGCTCACATCAGGCATCACAAATTGGAAAGAAAATTTACTCCTAAACTGAAAAGAAAATTTTACACTAATGAGAACAGTTAAAAAATGAAAATGAAAGTAAAATGCATATAATGTACATATAATGTACTGCACTGCATCAAGATGAAGAATAAGTATGATCACAAAATACACAGATTTTCTCACAAAAGTGCATATAATACAATAAAGAATAAGGAAATTTAAAAAAGAAAAAAGCCACTGAAACTCAGCCTAAGCTAAGGGAACAAATGCTAGAAATACACATTACAAGAAACTACTAAAAGTAAAAAAAAAAAAAAAAAAAAAAAAAAAAAAAAAAAAAAAAAAAAAAAAAAAAAAATTACATATTACTCTAATAGGCAAGAACCACAAAAAACTGAATTAACCCTTTCAGGGTCCAGAGGCCAAATTTCAAAGTGTGCACCAGGGTCCAAGAATTTTCAAAAAATAATTTTGTTATTTTCTCTTATGAAATGGTAGAGAATTTTTTTCTGAAAGCAATAAAACAAAAAGTATGAAATTTGATGGAAAATTGACGAAATTATGCTTCGCGAATTTTGATGTGTCAGCGATATTTACGCATCGGCGATTTTGCCGACTTTGACTCCCTTTTTAGGCCAATTACATTACTCCAGTCGACCAAATTCTTAGCTATTTCACTAATATTACTTCTATTCTATCGACTGAACACACGAAATCTCCATGTCAACTGTTTCAACAACAAAATAAAGTGATCGGAAATTGGTAATTTGGCCAATTTAATGCAAAGTTCAAAATATTCTAATTTCAAAATAGGGTCTAGAATAAACAATGCAGGCATTCCTGGCACTAAACTAACATTTCCTCTGTTCGTTAGTTACATTTTCAGGCTTTACAAATGAATTCCATTTTGATTTTTTATTCACATAATGAATTTTTATTCAAACCAAAAAATAGAAGATTTATTGTTATGAAATATTGTAATAATTGAATAAATAATATCACCACATTTGTGAACGTATATCAGACCCACCAGCTGGCGTGTATTAGACGTGTTAAGTCACTTGTTTACTCTTGAACATCGGCAAAAATTTAACATTTCGGCTACTTTGAGCCGTTTCAAGCCATTTTCAGTACTAAAACCAATCAAAATCATCTCTGTTTCTGTAATATATCTTCCATTCTATCAAATGAGACCAAGAAATCGCAAATACAACTATAAAAAACATACGAAAAAACACTGCAAAGTCGCTCTTTTAATAAAAAATTATGGTCTCGGTTTTCTCTCATTATGTAATGTGTGCTGCAGGATTTGTTTTATGTGGTGCACATATACCACATAGATGTATTCTCTCATATCTAGGCCCAAATTTACTGCTCACAGCTTGTCAGAGTGAGCTGAGCTAATGTCGTAAATCTACGGTTTGGACCCACAACGTAAAGCCATAGATCTATGGTACGGACCCTGAAAGGGTTAAAATAAAGGATTTTATACATACAAATAAAAAACGATTACATATGTCATTAAGAAAAGAACAATTCTCAAAGAAATAGCCCCCTCAAGGGAGGCTGTTCCTTGATATTGGTGAGAGGCTCTTAATCCAAGGAACTGACCCTGCCCTCTCATCCCTTAAATCAAATGCCTTCCATCCCCCAGGCACTGTGGAATCTCGGCAGGTTTAGTGCTCCCCCACGAATTTAATAATAATAATAATAAAAAAGGTGGGGGTCTGAAAGCAACCTCAGCTGTCAGAAAGAAAAATTGTACAGTTGAACAGTACACTTGAAAAATTATATAATTTTTGGGGAGAAAAGGGATAATAATCTTTTAGTGTTTGTAAACCTATACTAACATTTTCTGTCTATTATACCCGAATAATCCAAGAAAGTAAAGGGATAGATGGATGATGAAATTCAATAGAAGCATGGATTTCATAGCACACAGAGAATGGGATCTGGAGCAATTATTAACAAAAGACTGCCAGATGAGGATTATATTAAGGCAGTACAGCACTATTATGAGAAGCATGTGTGCTACAGTGCTAATAACCGACAGATAGATGCCTGTTAAAATCTGTTCATAATTACATTTAAAACAAACTTTACATATGCGGCAGGATTGTGGCATCTGCACATCAGCTAGTGCATTTAGCTCACACACTGAGGTCTGGAGATCGAATCCCCAGTATGGCTGGAAAACATTAGGATGTTTCCTTAAGACACCTGTTGTCCATGTTCACCCATCAGTATAAAACGGGTACCTGGGTGTTAGTCGACTGTGTGGGTCGCATCCTGGGACAAAACTGACCTAATTTGCCCAAAATGTTCTGCATAACAAGTGGCTTTCTATATAGTAGTATGTCACTGATGTCAGCTAGGCCTGTATACCTTGTACATGTACTTATAATAATATATTATTTCTACATGATATTATTATTATTATGTAGTGGGACTGTGATATATGCAGCAGGATAGTGAAATCTGCAGTGTGATTGTGGTATCTGTATATTATATGGAATAGGAGATTAGTGTCTTCACACTGTATGCAGTGGACTGTGGTATCGTCACATTACATGCAATGGGACTGTGGTATCTTCACATTTTATGCAGTGGGATTGTGGTATCTGCACATTATATGCAGTTGGATTATGGTATCTGCACATTACATGCAGTGGGATTGTGGTATCTGCACATTACATGCAGTGGGATTGTGGTATCTGCACATTATATGCAGTGGGACTGTGGTCTCTGCACATTAAAAAATCTAATCATGGTACAAAATCAGAGTGGAGAGCTTGTCAGCGAGAGAAGGAAAGAGATGATGCATGATAACCACTGCAATCATTAGTGTACATAAGAAAGCTGTTGGTCATTACTGTCACATTTGTAAACTAAACAATAGAATACAGTATAATAAAAACTTTTTTCAAAACAGTGTTAGGTTGCTAGAATAGGATCCAACAAGTATATGTAACAACCAGTGGAAAATTTCAATATATGAAAAACAGAAAGACAAAGACCATAAGCATAGTACTGCTGCTACAAATTATTTAATATTATATAATACCTTAATAGATACTTTTGAACTACACAGATGATAAAGGAAAGACTGCCAATAAACTCTTTTTGTACTTACCCATGTTAGTAGTGGATACATCTATTTCTACATTCAGAGGTTCAAATTTTTGTCTTGTGTTTCCAGAGTTACTACGAGAGTGACTCTGTCTTTGTTGTTGTGCATGCAATGGTGCTTGCTGTGACTGCTGCTGCTGCTGCTTGGGCTGCATCTTATCTGCAAATGTCACAATACTTAGCCAAAAGAATTTTTATATGAGCAACTTATAAGCTGCTGCTTATTAAATAAAGCTGACATTTTAAATAAGGTTTCTATTTGACCATTCATCCACAATTCTTGCAATTACCATAACCCACTACCATCATCATCTCAATTACCTTAACCCACTACCACCATCTTCTCCAATTCATTCCTCCTCCATTACAATTTATTCATTCCAAACTTTTGTCATGTCTCACCCAGTCTTACCTCAGTCACTAGTCTGACTATTGCCAGTATCCCCTTTTTAATCAATTATATATATGTGCGTACTGTGTATGTGCATTTACTCATCTATATGTGGTTGCAGAGGTTGATTCACAGCTCCTGGCCCTGCCTCTTTGTTGGTCACTGCTAGATCCACTTCTGTGTGCATGCAGATGTGTGTGCAGGTGTATGCATATGTACTCACCTAATTGTGGTTGCAGGGGTCGAGATTCAGCTCCTGGACTCCAGTGATTATGTATACGTGTGCAAGACAAATCATGGGGGATGGAAATCCGGTGAGCTGAAGACTTCCATCCCCTGTGGCTTGTCTTGCATTGTTAAGATCACCTGTCTGCGATTGTATTGCACGTATATGTGTACGAGGCCTGGTCTCCGACCGGGCTGTGGGGGCGTTGACTCCCGAAACCCTCTCCAGGTAAACTCAAGGTATGTATGTGAACGAGTACGTATGTGTACAAGTATGTATGTGTACGAGTATGTATATGTACAAGTATGTGTACAAGCATGTATGTATATGAATATGTACATTTATGAGAAAGCATAACTATGTATGTGAGTGTATGTGTATGCTTGTGTACATATGTTCAAAAAATAAATATCATACCAACCTATAATATGAGTAGCAGAAGTAGCTGTTCTTGTAGAAGGTAAGGTTAGATTGGAAGCTGAGGTGGAACTCTTGGAGGAGATTTCAAACTCAAATTGAGTTTCCAGGGCACACAGCTCTCCAAGGATGGTGTCTAATTCAACATCTCCAGAATCTTTGGTGACAGATGCAAACAAAATTAGAAAAGCTACATAACAAAACTTTTACATTAAAATTTACTAAATAAAAATCAATGCATCAACAAGCTGAAAATGAGAAATTATTACATTGTTCCATCACTGAAATTCTTGAATACCCTTCAACCCTTTCACTGTTTCCCGTGTAGGTTTACTTTACTGATGCCAGTGTCGCTCTCTTACACCTATGTTTTAAGCACTATGCCTCAAATATGCTGCAAGTGGTAAATTTTAGCCTAGACAGGAGAGAATGGGTCTATGTGGTGGGTGTGCACAGCATGAAAAAAAAATACCCTTCTCACAGTGCATAATTGGAATAGCAAACTCTGAAAGAGGTGTTTTCTAGAGTATTTTTTATGGCTTTACTGACTGTTTCTTGGTATTGGTACAGACCAGAAGTAGCTTGAAAGAGTCTTCAGAGTGGAGGAATTTTTTTTTTTTTTTTGCGATTTTCCTGAGGAAGGGTCGACCCTCCCCCCCCCCCCTTCATTTGTTTTATGGGATTTGAATGGGTCTACTTCAAATATTGAGATGACCTAAACCAAGACCAATCATTCTTCGTTATATTTTACTTAAGAAATAGTGCAAAATAAATTTTTTATGCGAAGGCAGATTGAAAATGGAGGGCAAATGTTATACAGTCAATGCCTAGGGACGTAACTAACGAATGAAGACAAGGTTGTTTTAATGGTTGGAATGCCTGCAGTGTTTATTCTGAATACTTTGCAAACTGAAATTTCTAGAAATTGTATAAAACTGGCAAAATTACAAAGTTATGAAGTTCCTTGTCCTCAGTAAAACGAACACTTAGAAAATCCTAGAGGGATTAATACCAAACTTGCACACGAAAATCCCTCCCTATGAAAGCAAAAGACTCGGCAGGAGATGCAACATTCCCTCAATGAAAAGAAGGGGCACCATGAGTACATTGAGACAACACAATAAGTGCCTGGGGCCCAATACTGTTCAACTGCCTCCCAGCATACATAAGGAGAACTACCAATAGACCCCTAGCTGTCTTCAAGAAGGCACTGGACAGGCACCTAAAGTCAGTACCTGACCAGCCAGGCTGTGGTTCGTACGTCAGTTTCGTACGGCCAGCAGTAACAGCCTGGCTAATCAGACCCTGACCCATCACAAGGCTTGGTCTCAGACCGAGCCATGGGGGCACTGACCCCCGAAACCCTCTCCAGGTAAACTTGGAGTTTACCTGGAAAGGGTTGCTGCCTTCGACTATACAAACAATATGCGACTAGCTGACAAGTGTGACATGCAAATAAGGTTCACTGATTGTGTGCATAGGAGTCGCAAGTGGTACATTAGTATTTTTCCACCTTGTAGACAATGCAATGCTCAATGCCTTCAACATGTACAAAATAAAGACTGGAAAATGACTATGCTATGCAGAATTCACCCTCAGTGTCATAAAGCAGATAGTAAAAAAGCAGTGCTACACCTGTACCTGCCCCTTAATTTAAGGAGGGGTTTGGGATATTGGCAGTTTGGAGGGATAAGTTGTGTATCCTTATATGTGTATGCTTCTAAACTGTTGTATTCTGAGCACCTCTGCAAAAACAGCGATAATGTGTGAGTGTGGTGAAAGTGTTGAATGATGATAAAAGTATTTTCTTTTTGGGGATTTTCTTTCTTTTTTGGGTCACCCTGCCTCGGTGGGAGACGGCCGACTTGTTGGAAAAAAAAAAAAAAGACTATTTACACTACTAGTCAAGAAATTCTGATTTGTTTGCTAAACAAGGCTATAATAACATTTACCTGGACAATTAGTGACACAGTATTTACAACAAACCTCCAGTCACACAATATTTACTGTATTTTATTAGTTAATATTTAATTCTAATATAAAATTTACTACAATGTCCTTTGAATTTAAAACTTTTGATAATTACATTTAGCAAAGGAATTACTGTAGCTGGTTCTTAACCCCTAAACTGTCCAAACATAGATCTACGTTTTCACTGCTAGCACTCCGAATATTTTTATTTATTTTTTTTTTTTTTTTTTGTAAAAAAAGAGGGCAAGCACTTGCTGAGATATAAGGCCACTGAAGTTGGCGCTGAATGCTCAGGTGACGGGAAAAATGGAGGGCTGCCGCTCACAGAAATGTTAAAAATATATCTTTTCAATTCTTTTGTAATTTTCATAGCTTTGATGTTATGATGATAATGTTTTAATTACACAAATACCACCTGGTGGTTAACACTTACACTCACTCACCCATTTGACCATAAACAGAAATATCAATCTCAATCTCAAAATAATGAATCTTAACTAGTCATAAGTTGGCCTGTTATACTCCAATACTGAAACTATGTATAGTGCCAAAACAAAAGCATTCACATTGCTAAACTCACAAACTAGTATTTAGTCACTTAGCCATAATACCAACTTACCTCATTTTAAGTCTGCCCGAAATGCCTAGCCATGCTAGGTGTTCTAGTGGTACACTCTGTAATTATTTTTACTACATGTAAACCACACAATAACCAAATTCTGTAAACTCAGCATTGTAATCCTTATAGAGAATAAACTTTGAATTTGAATTGTTGTCGTTGAGACACAAATGTTTGGTACGAAATTATCATGCTGTCAAACATGCAAGTTCACACTGCTAGATGAATTTGTACACTTGGCTCAATCACATACTATTGTCTACAGATATATATACAAGGTATTTACAGGTCCCACTTATGTTTCTAGAAGTTCAGGATTGTGTGATACTCCATTGAGCATGGATTCATACAGAGTACCACCCCACATTGCTGAGACATGAATCGTGTGTCCTTCCACTGTTGGGGTTGCCTTGTGGTGTTAGCACACACAGCACACTTTTTCTGAGAATACTTCTTTTTTGGAGTAGACAGTATCTGCATCAGGTAGTAACAGTGAGTATTTGCTCTGTCACACTCCCCTGTGGTTGTGATTGAGGGACAGGGCACACTTAAAGTGCAGGCATTGTACTTCCCATTTCCAGGACTCAAGTCCGACTATATGAAAATAACTGGTTTTCCTGAATCCCTTCACTAAATGTTATCCTGTTCACACTACAACAGATCGTCAGGTCCCAAGTACCATTCGTCTCCATTCACTCCTATCTAACACGCTCATGCACGCTTGCTGGAAGTCAAAGCCCCTTGCCCACAAAACCTCCTTTACCCCCTCTCTCCAACCCTTTCGAGGACGACCCCTACCCCGCCTTCCTTCCCCTATTGATTCATATGCTTTCCATGTCGTTCTACTTGATCCATTCTCTCTAAATGACCAAACCACCTCAACAACCCCTCTTCTGCCCCTGACTAATACTTTTATTAACTCCACACCTTTCCTAATTTCCACACTCCGAATTTTCTGCATAATATTTACCCACACATTGCCCTTAAACAGGGCACTCCACTGCCTCCAAACCGTCTCCTCGCGCTGCATTTACCACCCAAGCTTTACACCCAGATAAGAGTGTTGGTACTAAATATACTTTTTATACATTCCTTCTTTCCTCCATAGATAACGTTTTTTTGACTCCACATATACCTCAACGCACCACTCACCTTTTTTCCCTCATCAATTCTATGATTAACCTCATCCTTCATAAATCCATACGCTGACACGTCAACTCCCAAGTATCTGAAAACATTCACTTCTTCCATACTCCTCCTCCCCAATTTGATATCCAATTTTTCTTATGTAAATCATTTGATACCCTCATCACCTTACTCTTTTCTATGTTCACTTTCAATTTTCTACCTTTACACACATTCCCAAACTCATCCACTAACCTTTGCAATTTTTCTTTAGAATCTCCCATAAGCACAGTATCATCAGCAAAAAGTAACTGTGTCAATTCACATTTTGAATTTGATTCCCCAAAATTTAATCCACCCCTCTCCCGAACACCCTAGCATTTACTTCCTTTACAACCCCATCTATAAATATATTAACAACCATGGTGACATTACACATCCCTGTCTAAGACCTACTTTTACCGGGAAGTAGTCTCCCTCTCTTCTACACACCCTAACCTGAGCCTCACTATCCTCATAAAAACTCTTTACAGCATTTAATAACTTACCACCTATTCCATATACTTGCAACATCTGCCACATTGCTCCTCTATCCACTCTATCATATGCCTTTTCTAAATCCATAAATGCAATAAGAACTTCCCTACCTTTATCTAAATACTGTTCACATATATGCTTCAATGTAAAACACTTCATCTACACATCCCCTACCCACTCTGAAACCTCCTTGCTCATCCGCAATCCTACATTCTGTCTTACCTCTAATTCTTTCAATTATAACCCTACCGTACACTTTTCCTGGTATACTCAGTAAACTTATTCCTCTATAATTTTTACAGTCTCTTTTGTCCCCTTTCCCTTTATATAAAGGGACTATACATGCTCTCCGCCAATCCCTAGGTACCTTCCCCTCTTTCATACATTTATTAAACAAAAGTACCAACCACTCCAACACTATATCCCCCCTGCTTTTAACATTTCTGTCATGATCCCATCAGTTCCAGCTGTTACCCCCTTTCATTCTATGTAATGCCTCACGTACCTCCCCCACACTTACATTCTGCTCTTCTTCACTCCTAAAAGATGGTATACCTCCCTGACCAGTGCATGAAATTACTGCCTCTCTTTCTTCCTTAATATTTAAAAGTTCCTCGAAATATTTCCGCCATCTACCTAATACCTCCATCTCCCCATCTACTAACTCCCCTACTCTGTTTTTAACTGACAAATCCATTGTTCTTAACTTGTTTAACTCACTCCAAAATTTTTTCTTATTTTCATTAAAATTTCTTTACAGTGGCTCTCCCACTCTATCATCTGCTCTCCTTTTGCACTCTCTCACCACTCTCTTTACCTTTCTTTTACTCTCCATATACTCTGCTCTTCTTATAACACTTCTGCTTTCTAAAAACCTCTCATAAGCTACCTTTTTCTCTTTTATC